TCTCACAATTTTGTCATTTATCATTGTTCATTAAACTCTGAAAGCTATGTGACTTTGTTAATATTCTGTCCTAAAATGCGATAAGATGTGCCCTTTTTTTTTTTTTGAGCACCTGCCCCTTTAGTGGTCTCTGCACGGCCCTGAAAAGCATTTCAGACAAACTGATGAATAAAATATTATATCTGCTCATATGCAGCGTCTGCTCTTGTTAACTTTGCCAAACATGTGCAAAATGTCTAAACATAAGTCGTAATAAGACACCGAACCCAAAAAATATAGAGACCCTCTGAATATAATTCCTTTATTTTATTGAAGCACACCCAAACTGTAGCCGTGCAATCCTTACAGACACATCAAGCATAAAACATTTAAACATCAAAAAAAATATTAAAGCTTCAAGCTAAAATCACTGTTTATTAAGGCAAGAATACATAAACATGCAGGCAGAAGAGGGCAGTCATTAGTTACATTTACTTCAGTAAGAATTTGACAATAATCTGCTTTTAGGAGTCGGTTTACTGAGCCGTACTTCTAACTTTTACTTGAGTAATATTTCTGCAAAGTATCGCTGCTCCTATTGGAGTAAAATCTCTGACTCCTCTGTGAGTAATTTGAATGATTCCAATATCAGATAAACATGCAGTAAACAGTAGAAATCATCAGTGGAAGATTGTTTCCCCGTCCTAACATATATACAGTTCTCACTGTAAGAATTGCTTTTCTAGGTTAAACAAAATAAAATAAAATAATGGATAAAAGTATTTTCTTCTGCAGAAATTTGTTCTTTTATATTCATGACATTTATTTTTATTCTTTAGGTATTTAAGAACTTGTACACAAGCATAATTTATTAATATTAAATCTAATGTTTTAATACAACAATAACTCAGTACTAAAGTAGATTTTCTACCAAATAATTTTTTACTAGTTTTTTTCTTCAAATGAGTAAAAAAAATGTTAGGTTAGTGCTACTCTACAGGGGTCAGTTTGAAAACCACTGTCATAGAGCCCTTACATAATTTTTTACCTTTAAACAGCATAAAGACTTTATTTTAATCTGTGTTTATTCTGCATTTGTGCTTCTGTCTCCATCTGAATCACAATTAAATTTTACTTTAATAATTTTACTTTTACAAATTGTGAAATGAGAAATCCAATTTTTCTAAATGTTCATAACACTCTAATAACCCTCATCACAGGCTGACTTTATTCCATATCCTTTTACAGCAGAAGGGAATTAATTCTCATCTCCATCAATCTTCTTCAATACAGCAAACATTTTTTAAAGAAAGAAACATAAACTTCTGTAAACATGCATACTTATGACAACAACAGTAATGAAAATTTGTTTTTTAAAGATGATTAAATAGAGGAGATTATGGAGCTATTGCAGATGTTTAGGTGAAAGCACTAGTTGTCTCTATTGCAAGTTTTGCATAAATATCGATGTTCTAATAGAATAGCTCTCTAACTTTTTTAGGATACCTCATATCACAGTTTGCTGCCGTATTCTGAACCCTACTGTCCACCAGCTGCTTTAACTCCAAACAGGAGTTTTGTCGACAACATAAAGGAAAGTGTTTCCTAAACATTATCAGCACCAAAGCAACCAAACAAATGACAACACAAATGATAAGTATATAGAGCTTTGTCGTCGTCTGCTCCTCTGCCACTATACCAACTAGTGTCGGTATAGTGAAAGTCCCAATCTCCTTTGTCACTGTCATGTCCAACTTCTTTTCACACGTGTCTCCATAGTAACCGTCCAGACAGTCACACAGCCACTCGTTGGACCTAAGCAGCCTCCTGCATGTCCCATTGTTCTTACATTGATGGCTTTTGCAGACAGATTCATTTCTCGAGTAATGAACAGAAATCCAACTGTCATATTTGGACCAACCCAAGCCATTCCACCACCACCATTTACACTTTAATCGTTGAAAAGGTGTTGGAACCTCTACATACTGATCTCCATAGGTAACCTGTGTAACTTTGGCATAGTGTTCAAAAGGAATGAAAATCTCATCACTATGATCCCTTGGATACCATCGACGACTGCAACTCTGTGGTTCTTTCACAGTATTACAATCCTGGTATTCAAAACATTCCTTGGCTGTGTCTTTTACTTGTTTAACATTTATCATGTTTGCCTTCACAGTGTAATCTACACCCACAAGAAGACTGCTGATGTTGAAAGTAAACTTAGTATGGAGTAGGTGATTCTTCTCATTGTCTATCACCAACACCACCCAGCAGTACCAGCTGTACTTGTTGTCCAGAGCTTCCTTCACCTGATCAGCAATGGCCTTTTTGTTGCCTGGACTTAGATCTTTGATAATCTCATCCACATCCTTCTTTAAGTAATCCTCATAGTTTTGAAGGCAGAACTCTACTTCTGCTAACTGAGCTTCAGAAACCTTCTTCAGTAGCTGTGCAGGTTGATCTTCTTTGCCTTTCATGTTAACACCAGCCATTTTCCAGTAGAACTGGTTGAGCACCATCCCCTTCCACAGCAAACTGCTGAAGTAAGAGTTATATCTGCCCATCTTATTAATGTCACATTTAAGCTTCTTCTTCAGCAGATTGATGAGGTTCCCATGTAGAGAAATGCTGGTTCCTGTAAGGTACCGATAGAAATTGGAAACGCTGGACTCGACTCCTGAGTTTTCATAGTATCTGATGAATTTCTCAGACAATGTGAGTCCATCTTTTGCACTTTTCACCAGATTACTGTGAAGGTGAAGGTCATTAAACTTCTTCCAGGCATTGAGAATAGTGGCTTCATCTCTAGAGTAGACACTGACATAGTTGAACCATTCTACATCTGTTGCTAGGTTGGAGATTTTGATGGAGAGAGAGTCCAGCTTCTGGTTTACCTCATTAAACCCTTTCTTTACTTCATTCAACATTGGGTTTTCCTGAGGGATAAAAGCCAAAACCATGTTGACAACAGAGAAGGCCGTAGCTGCAACACCAGGAGCCAAACTAGCAAACCTGGAAATACCCTTCATCACAGTGGTCAACTTCTCTGAGTTCATCATATTCACGACATCTTTGAAAAGAGAGAGAGAATCTTTTGCGACATTTAGGGTCTTCTGTGTTTTTTCCCGTGTTTCAGGCGGCAGCTGTCGTTTGATTATGTTGAGGGTTGAGTTCGAAGAATCTGACTTGGCAAAGACAGTCATCCAGTGGAGAACAATTATTGAAGCCAATAGCATCAAAGTTGACCTCTTCTGATCCATAGCTGCCAAGTAAGAAATAAGAAAAGAAATGAGTCGTTTTCTAAAATCCAGCTAAAAAAGACAGAAACATTTTGTTGTTGGAAATAAGTATT